GTTTTCTTGTCATTCATCATTGCATCTGCGCCATTTTACTCTGAAAATTTTTGCCTAGATTTGAAGATGTTCCTGTCGAAAAGACTGGCACAGGAACTGACAATGACGATGATTTTGATGTGTTTGCCAGCGACGACGAAGAAGAAAGTGAACTGAAAAGACAACGCCTAGATGCCTATAAAAAAGAAAAAGCCAATAGTAATCATAGAGAAAGAATAATCATTTGCAGTTTGTTGTCTTCGTATTTTTAGAACCGGTTGAGATTGCTAAAAGCTCCATCGTTCTCGATGTATGTAGTCAATAGTTCAGAGAAAATTATTCATTAGAATATGTTTGCTTGGAATTTATAGGTTAAACCATGGGATGATGAGACAAACATGGAAGAACTTGAAGAACATGTTCGTTCAGTTGAATTGGATGGACTTCTGTGGGGTGCTTGTAAGTTTGAATTCATTTCCAGGAAATTGATTTCTCTCATTTGTCATTTTCGCGTTGTTTTAAAAGCTCAATTCATTCCTCTTGCTTATGGAATTCGTGCCTTACAGATTACATGTGTTGTTGAAGATGAAAAGGTATAGCTCTGACAGACTTTCCTTTCGTGTACCAATCTGATTTATTTCCAGGTTGGTACCGACATGCTTGAAGAACATATTACTGCATTCAAAGATCATGTTCAATCGGTCGACATTGCTTCATTTCGAAAGATTTAAAATTCATCATCACCAACCGCCATCACATTCTTGTTTATTAGCATCATATAACATAAAATTACTCAATCATCTTCTATGATGTCTTTAATCATTTTTCCATTGATTTTTCGCAACAATTTTTTGAATTTCCACTCCAATTGCTTATCTTTATAAACAGAATAATTCAATTTAACATTGAGTAATATCACAGTTACACAGATTTGTTGCAGAAACTTGTGCTTTGAATGACCAAGAAATGCACCGTAACTATTTTATAGTCACTCGTGTTGAACGACGAAGCCGTTCTAAAAGAGAGATATGCTTTGTTCGAATCGCGAACAACACAGTCACGCCTGTAATGATCATTGTACACAGCAATCATAATGAGAGTATCTTGGATTAGAGGCGAAGAAATCGGACAGATGTAATGACTAACATATTTGAATTTTGCAATTATGCAGTGAATCTAAATATGTTTATTGGCAAAGTCGACAAACTCATTCGCGTCCAATGAACACCCCATTCGGTTGATCGTTAAATGAGTTTTATCAAGTCGAATTTCTACAGTTGATGTGAGCCAATCCGGTGACGGATTGTTCTTTGTAGAGTAACACTCAATAGTAATCAGACGCTCGTCAACGTCATTGTGCACTTGTTAGTAGAAATATGTCAAGCAACAAAGAATAAATCGGTTCGGCTGGACAATGTCTGTTATAGCACTTACCCACTCTCCTCATCCGTGTTAGGAAACTTCTTTCGCTGTGTAAGTCTAGTGTCCCTTCGGCGCCAGCCGATAGTGGTGTGATCAGTTTGGGCGAGTGTATATGAGCCCACACCTATTAGCAAATCAATAGTAAGATTCTCGTGGATTTTCTCGTATTTGACGATTGCCCGTCGTAAATTCACCAGCGTTAGATTAGGTGGGAAGACACTTTGAAGTGTATCGAGAGACGCTTCTTCTGGTGCACTTGAAAATATAAACGATCGTTGTATGTTGGTTAGAGTCGTTCTCACAGTCGACATCATGCGTATGTGATAAAACGTAATTGACGAAGTGAAGGATACATTTTGTGCAATTCACAAGCTATTACTTTCTCGCGGTCAATGATGAGTCAATAAAAACACATTTTTTTCTCTGCCTTTTTCGTTGTGTATCAAGTGATTCGAATCAATCGTTGAGTTTCACACTAACATCATCATCTATCTCTTTTATTTTTTTAATCAGTTATTCGGTAAAAAGTACTGAGAAGAGTCTGCAGCGAATGAGAATAGATCGAATTATTTTATTAAAAAGATGAAATTAGCAGTCTCTACAACATTCCAAGCAAGCGATTTCTTCGAGGGCACAGCATATGCATAAGCATGCCAAACTAAAATAGAGTCGACGAATTTTGAAAGTTAAACGAGAAATTTAATTCTCAACTAACCAATCAAAACAAGCACCACCGCCTCGTAAACCTTTGGGGAAGTTTTCCTTTGATGGCGCAGATTCTTGTGTAGTTGCATCATCAGTTTTCTTCACTGTTTTTTCTGTAGATAAAAAGAAAATATCATATTTGATATCTCTCACTGAGATTCATCCATTGGATCTTCTTCTCCTACTCACCTATAACATTCTGATCCATATTGAATGCATCTCTAAGAGAATCAATTCCTGTATGATATATCACGATAGTTTAAACACTTACAATGTAGATGGCTGTTTGTGAACAACGGAAGTCATATTGTGTGTATATGGTATTATGGGCGAATCAATATAGTTTCTATGATAGTTTTTTGTGCCTATATTTATACTAAACTCGGGCGCTCGTATGGGCGTAACGAGTATTGCTTTCTTCACCTCCCCATATTTCGTTTTCAACACATATTTCACAATTACATGAGGCGGCAAACTATTTTTTCTTCGCACAAATATCAAAAAAATCGAAAAACATGTTTATATCTTACTCATACCAAATTCTCATTATAGTAGAATAATTTAATGGTAAGGGTGACGATAGAAATGAAGAAAAAGTATGACTATTGACGCACACTTATTCACCAATTCGATAAAAATAATTCAGAATGAAGATTGAAGAAATACACAGGTACAAATAGGTACCCCAATCACAGCTTCGCGCCGTGAATCAGTATCTGTTTTGTTGCTTGCAACAGAGAGGATTGAAAAAAAAATTTCATTCTTATGATTTCAAAGGAAAAAAATACGAGTGTCAAATTAATCGATGGCTGTGGTCCCGAAGGACCGAAAGTGTTGCTTCAGTCTCAAAACTTTAGAGTTGTTAGCCATCGATTGCGGCTCGTCTCTTTCATTTCTCACCGAAATGCTATTTAAGCTGTAGCAATTTGAGATTGTGCAATTCTTGTTCTTTCCTTTCAGTTATATATACACGTCATTTGTTTACTAGAAAAAATATCATGTCATGCAAACTACATTCATTTTATTTCGAAAAACACAATGGATTTCCACATGCACGTCCACATTGAGTATCGATATTGTTCAATTTGCAAGCAGCTGGAAAGGTCAAGTACGGACAGATAACACTATCGCATATTTCTAAATCGATAGAAATACCTGTAAACGAGATGTTATCTCATCTATCTTGACTATTTTACCTGCTTTCAGTCGATCTGCATCGTTATTACATCTAAATTACGAAATACGATGCATAAACAAAAATGACATCAGATTATTCATATTTACAGTGGTGTATCGCAAAATAGCCAAACATTCTCTTTATCGTAGACAGGTTCACTAACTGATTGACGTGTCATAAAGCCATGTTCCCAAGAACAGCCACGATAGACAACTACAGCAAATGAACATTTGCTTCGATCTCTTCAAGCTTACAAAAATACCTGCTCACCATTCTTGTATGAATATGTGTAGCATTGTCCGTTACACGGGACCTTGTGACTACTCAATGATGGATCAACTTTGTTACCACATCGGGGATTTCTTGAATCACATTGATAACACCAGCCAGAAGCAGCCTGGCTAACTGATTAATGGAAAAGAATTGATTAAACATACAATCGATCGTTCTCTGTGATGATTAGTCATCGTATCCATACCTTCATGAATCGCGAAAGTGACTAATAGTATAAGAAAATAGGCTTGCCGAAGCATATCTAGAATAAACAAATAGAAAGAAAAGTGGATTTCTTTTAATAAAGGACATCTTTTTATTGATAATAAATTAGTTTGAATAACGAATAGCTTTGTATTTTGAACCTCCGTTAGGTCGTTGCAGTTCAAGTGTTGGCGAACCTTCAGTACTATGTTCACGCATAGTTACTTTACCCAACGCACCCATATCTTTCGTGAAGATGATTTTATTGTCTTTCGACACATCTTTTCCAGGTTTACCGGGCAATGATACGAAATCGTCAAAAGCTTGATCTAAACCACCTGGCTTTCGCCATTGTGCAACATCACCAGGAGCGTCAGTAATTCGCGTAGCACCACCTGTACTTGTTAGCTTGTCAAATGGATGCTGGCCACCGCTGCGCAACAGGCTACTAGCTAAGCCTGTCTTCTTCCCCAAGCGCCGTTCATCAGCAGCCGTGAAAAGGAGTTCACTTGTAATCAATAGAAAAATTGCTGTGAAGAAATATTTCATCATGATGAGGAACGTAGAGTAGATTGTATGAATGTTTTTGTTTCGCGAAGCTTTTCTATATATACTGTATATAGTAACGATGCGTATTTTTTACGAATGGCCTTGACTTTGAATCGCGGATTTAACTATGATACGTTCCAGGGAAGCATGATGCATTGTTTTCGTCTTCTGATCAAATTACAAAAGTAAATATTTTCACGATTAACTTCTTTGGCGATCAATCTTTCCAATAAAGTGTTTTCATTCTCCGAAATAAACTAATATGTATCTGAAGTATGAAAAACAACAAATAGTGATTGATTGTACTATTGAAAGGACAAAGCAGTAGCACTGTTTTCATTGGTGATAGCCATATTCCGAATGTACTGTATACAGACAAAAGTCTCACGTAATAGTTGATACTGTAAGAATGCTGAATACATTCGCTTACCTCTTTACACGTTGTTGAAAAAGAAAACATGACTTTATTATTTATTACTGACACAAATGAGTGATTGTGAAGAAATCATACGATCTAAATGGCAGTCATTTATTTTCCTTTTCTCTCTGCACAAACTGGAACTATATACTCTCTTCACCTTCACAGCGAAATACGTATATTGTCGTAGTCATGTTGATGACTTACGGTAGAAGAAGAAATGGCCATGATACGTATGACATTAATGAAGCTAGACCAAATCTGCGATTTTATATGTTTCCGCTGCAGAAATTAGGATCGTCTGTCGATCTTAGCGTATGGATGTCACCAATTATACACCAAGATGATACCAAGACTTGGTACTAAACTATAACTATTCGAGTCGAATTCAGCTAAGTCGCATTGTTTTTATTTTCTTCTAGTTGTGCCAATGCATTTGCGACCATTTGTGAGTATTTAATCCGACGGACAAATAACTGTCCATATACAATGCCGTGTATCAATCTATCCCGGTTATTTATCTATTACAACGGACAACGCAAAGAACAGCAAACGCGTCATGTTCAAGATCTTGGCGTTCACCAACGAAATATCGCGTTAAGTATGAGAAAACATGGCATATGTGAAGAAGAATTCTGGCCGTATCGAATGCGTTTATTAAATAAACAACCGTCTGTGGCTGCATATCGCCAAGCAAACAAATATACAGTTAATTTACTTTCTGTCCCGGTTACTATCGAAGCGATTGAAACATGTCTACATAATCAAATTCCGGTGCCGATCGACATTATCATGGATGATGAAACTGAACAGATCANTCATTCAAATAAACTCATCTATTCAACATGCTCGGACGAACAACTCTTGTCAGCAACAACTGGAATGGTGATTATCACACCATTGGCTTTGGTAACTATGGCTATGGCATCTATACACAAGATAGTGGAATGTATGTCAATCCATGGAATGGACATGTTGGTGTTGAACGTGAGATCGACTTCACTCCACTAGATGCACTTCACTTTCAACCATACACTGGAGTTCCTGCATCCATTCGTCAACACTACATCAGTTAGAATGTAGATTGTATAGAATGAAATGTATTTTTGTATCTGTGATGAAATAAAATCAGAAAAAAAACAATTTTTTTTATTGCCGTCAAACCTATGTCTAAAGGATGCACGCTTTGACGTCATAGTCGAGCGAATTAGAGGTTAATAGGAAAACAACTTTGTAAGAATTTTGGATCATTTCATTTAGTGATTTTATCATCTTTCGACAAGGATGTTCATCGAGGAACGATATAACCCGAAAAAGCTCGCTATAGTTTACGTTATATGTTTTATTTGTTGAAAAGATTATTTATAAGAAAACATAGCCAAAAATAGTGTTTGAAGATTATGAGGCACATATGTAATTTGTAGTTTAGTATATATAGAAAAATGTTCTTTTGCGAAGTTCAGTTAAGGTGAATATAAGAGAGCAGTGTCAAGTGGTACACTATTACTTGTTCCTCCTACAATGAATACTGTTCCGTCTAGAAAGACAACTGCCACATGATCCCTTCGGGCGGTACTCATCGGCTTCGTTACTGTCCAAGTATTGTCTGTTGGATTATACGATTCAATACTGCTCAAAGGACCTTGCCCACCTATAGCTAATACTCTTCCAGTTGGTAGAACGGATGCTGCGTGCGCGAAACGGCCATCATTCAGGTTTGGTGTTGCTGTCCAACTACCAGAAGCAGGATTATAGATTTCAGCAGTTCTAAGAACATATCCATTACCTCCACCGACAATCAGTACTTTACCATTTGATAGCATAGAGTCTGTGTGACGAGCGCGTGTGGTACTCATCGTTGTTGTTGCTGTCCAGGCGCCGGTTGTTGGATTATATAATTCAACAGCATTAAGAAAAGTACTAGCAGTGGATCCACCTGCAACTAAAACTTTTCCATTCGTAAGGACGGTTGATGTGTGGTCTTTTCGTACATTGATCATACTTCCTGTTGCTATCCAAGTACCCGTTGATACATTATATAATTCAGCACTGTTAAGATAACCGATACTATTGTATCCACCTGCGACTAGCACTGTTCCGTTTAGGACAGATGCTGTGTGACCTCTTCGTGCATTATTCATACCACTTGTTGCTGTCCACACGTTAGCTATGGGATCATATAATTCAGCACTATTTAAAGCACCGGTATCGTTATACCCACCTGTCACTAGCACCCTTCCATCTGCTAGGGTAGATGCTGTGTGTCCGGAGCGTTTCGTAATCATACTTGCTGCCATTTTCCAAAATCCAGCTGATGGATCATATAGTTCAGAACTATCCCAAATCAAGCTCGCATTACGCATTCCACCTGCCACTAGCGCTTTTCCATTTGGTAGAATGGATATTGTGTGATCATATCGAGCATATGACATTGACGCTGTATCTTTCGCTCCTATAAAAGTATGTGTGAAGAATAGAATCTGTTTTCACTTGAATGTTTTAGCTAGCTCTTTCACTTTTAGAGAAGCGCTTTACTATTAATTTAGCTCATTCCTTTTCAGATAGAAGACGTTGATTATGATTTACGACATTCTAATTGGTGTTAACGCTATTCTGAAATGCAATAGTTTATTGCGCTCTTGGTATCACGACGATGTTCGAGATAATATAACTAGTGTATCTACGCATTTGTAGTTGCAATTATTCAAGAATGGATCAAAGCTATCACTCAATATAATCTCAAACTAACCGGTGAATGGTGCTGATGTTGACGTTGTTGTCGACGTAGTCGAGGATATTGTTGATATTAATGTTGTTAGCCTTGTTGTGGGTGTGTTTAACACGGATGTTGTTGTTCTTTCTATTGAAAACAAACTCAATTAAATCAAACGTTCTTAAGCAGGTCCGTGGTGATTCTACTGAAATGTTTCCACTATGACGATTATTTGATAGAAACAGCACTTTCCTCGGCGTCCATTCAGTTAATGTCGTTCTTTTTACTTACCAGGCAGATATCTCGTTCCATTGATTACAATCATGTTAGTAACACCTGTACTAGCTAACATATTTCCGTTTGAGCTCAGCACGCCATCAAATAATTCACAATTGAAACTTGATAAATAAAAACTGGCTCCTGTGCATTGATTTTGATTTAAACAAGCCGTTTGACATTGAAGAATGTTAATGACAGCGAGAGTCGCAGCTGGTGGACAAGTTGTATTTGCGCATTGAAACTGCGAACCATTAACAATCAACATTTGAACTGATCATGTATTTTGTGCTACTGATTGTTCGATGATCAGACATAAGAACAAGAGAGGTACTCGTTTCGAAATCATCACTAGTAAGAATGCATTAGGAAAAACACTCCGGTAAAAAGCAGTTTTTAATATGCACTAATTCATTTGTCTTATTTCTATTTTTAAACAACAGTGCGTGAATTTTCTCTATGCGACTGACTTACAAGGCACTTCAATTTACGTCCGGCTGCTACCGTTTTCCCTCAAAGTTCAACTTTAAACTCACACTCTTGAACTAACATTGCCCGTAGTGCAAACTAAGTAGTGAATAGAGAAATTCGTTGTTTACGTATCATTGAAAAGAAAACGATATACGGAGATCCTCACACTTCTTGTAATGATGTTTGTATTTTGTATCGAGAGAGCGTCATCAGGTTTGATTAATTCACCAAAGTAATACTAGGAAGCATACTAATTTTTTTGAACTCTTGACAGTTGTTTAACAATCTAATATACTTTTGTTTTGTAGACATTTGAGCTGAAGAAAGATTTGTCGTCATTCTCATTTTTCTCGTCCGTTTAGCTTGATTACAACAACAAGCAAAGAAAATGTTGATGAAATTTACCTAATAGTCAAATCTAGTTTTCCGTTGTGAAAATTCATCAAGTACGATGTTTAGACAATTGTAATTTTCTGATTCTGATTTCTACAACGGATTTCATGTGTAACCTATACATACATTCGTGAAATTTAGCTGAAAGGCAAACGTTGATCAAACTCACAACATAAGCCGTTGTTTTTTTTCTCTCTATCTGTGTTTGATGTCGGAAGTTTATTGTTTACTGGTCTCCGTTTTACATTTGTAGGAAAGCACTGCTAATTCATGACAATTTTGTGTATACCGTAGTTTTCTTTCGTTCTGTCTCGCTCAAGCATGACTATTCATTTGCTTTCATTTTGCTCGTCATCATAATTGACTATACACTTAAGCAGACGAGTCTCAGTCACCGTCAAGAATACGATAAAAAAATCAACACATGAGTAAAACAAATCACTGCATTCATTTTCATATTTGATAGTTTTCTCGCGATAGATCATATTCATCAGCGAATTCCTCGTCGAGAAGATCGACTCCAAAATCGAACAGTCTATATCAAAGGTGAACTGTACACGTTACTCAGTCGATTAGGAAGTGGAAAATTCGCATCTGTATGGAAATCGACAACTCGAGATGGTATTGACCGATGATTTTTTTTTCTTTACTCCCATCGATATTTTTCTCTTTCCAACTGTTCTATTGTTCCTCACTTAAGGTAAAAATGCACATGTTATTGTGATAGCGAACACAATCGCTCGAATGATCGATCGAATATTTCCTTTTCTATCTTTTGTTTGAAAAAATTGACTTTTCGCTTTACATACAGGTCAATATGCTGCAGTTAAAGTATTTGACTTTAATTATTCGCGAAATAATATAAACTCCAGTCAACGTGTGCGTTCATTTCGAAATGAAATTCAAATGGCTCGACGCATGCACGAAGAAATGAACTATGTTGCAACTGTGTATGCGGTTGATCTTGACCGACAGAGACGGATCGGTTTTATAGCCATGGAATTAGGGAATAGGCCGTTCAGAGATAAAATCGAAGATCTCCATCAAATGCATTTCCAATCGCCAAAGACTGGCTATGATTATATCACAGCGAAAGATCGAAAGAATATATGGATCCAGCTGGTCAATATTCTCTGTGCACTCTATCGGCACGATGTAGTAAGTGTAATATGCTGATGAAATAGTTATACGAATTCTGTTTCTAGGTTCACCGTGATATTAAACCAGCTAACTTAGTATTTTTTGGATCAACTCTGAAAATAATCGATTTTGGCATCGCTCAGGATGCAGTTGCACAGTAATTCTCATTCCTTTTCCATCAACTTTCATTTTGTTGCTTTCCTTATCTAGGTACAATCGACATCAAAGAGGTGGTAATCATCCTTATAGTGCGCCCGAGTGTTTCAGTCAATATTTACCTATCACATCACAAGCTGACATTTGGTCAGCAGGTTCCATCCTCTATTATTTGACATATGGCAAAACACCTGTTTATGAGAGTCCACGACCGCCATCCGGTGCACCACAAACAAAGTCACCTCTCGTTCGAAATATATTATACTATTCTTTTCAAAAGAATCCAAATAGACGGGCAAATCTTCCTTGGCTAGTTGAACATCCGTTAACCAAAGATAAATATGCTCTGTTCTAACTGAACGTATACTTCTATGGCATCAAATCGTCCTTGAGAACTTGTACTCGCAAGTTTTTCTCACAGTTCTTATCTATTTTTTTATTAAATCTTATTCAGTTAGCTTTGAAACTTCCTCTCCAACAAGTGTATTGATACCATTTCGCTCAACTGCTTTCGTTGTTGATGAATGAATAGTTGGTTCAGGCGCTATTTTATTCGATCGCTTCAATGAGCTTGAATTTGAACGAATGGATTGCGTTGAAAGGCGTTTTTCCGTTGCGTTAGGTAAACTCGACACCGTCATTTCTACTTCTGTATCATCCTTCTAAAAGAGAAAACGACGATGTGTCACATTCTTAGAAAACAAAAAATCTACCTTCGTACTGTGTTGTCTTGGCAAGCAACAAGCGCAAATGGTATTCAATGAGATAATCAACTTTGGATCAATTTCATGTGGCTGACGTGGTCCGGTTAAATAGGAAACAATCATACCAATTAGTATGACGGTACTGACTGCAATGGGCGTATACCAAAGATAACTTATCGAATACAGATCGATCAGCGGATCGCGTCTGAAGAGATGATTTTATCTGTTTTTTTTCCTGGATCTTGATGATCTTACTTGACAGGATCGCTTGTTGTAGTCCAATTGAACACAATTCGTTCGTTTGTATCATTTGATGAAGTACAATTCACGATTGATAATGGTAAACTTACATCTGTCATTTGATTTTTTGTTATTTGAGCGCCTAAGAAAATCCATAGTAAAAATGTTAGACTTGTTAGAAATCCAGCAAGGCCTCCTCGTCGATTGGCTCTCGGAAAGAAAAGTCCAAGTATGAAGACCCCCATAATCGGACCTTCAAGGACGCCGAATAGTGAGAGAACTGCATTAAGAATCATTCCTAAATAACTAACTACATAAGTGAGTAACATAACAACAGCGCCAAGTATAACTGAAACTATCTTTGCTATGAAGCCTTGTCTCTGATCCGTTAATTGTCGACCGAGTAGTCCTTTATAAATATCTTCAATTAATACGGCTGCTAGACTATTCAAACCAGACGAAACTGTTGAAAGAGAACCAGAAAATATGCAAGCAAGGAAGACACCGGGTAGTCCTGCCTTATCACCTAATATTTCCATGACAAAATATGGAAAAATTTGATCCAAATCATCAATCTTTTTCGCTGTATATGGATCACAGTTAGCATAATAGGCATAGATCATAATACCGATGAAACTTGACATAATAAGAACTAATGCACTAGTAAACGCATTGATAAACAGAGCCTGTTTAGCACCGCGTGTCGAGCGAACACAAATATATCGTTGTATGAGTGTTTGGTTAAATCCGTATGTAGATAACCAGTTGAACGAACCACCAATAAGTACTGACCAGATAGTAAGTCGAGCACGTGGATCAGGACTGATACTATACCAGCATTATAATTCATGTCAAAAATCTCTTCTTATGCAATCGAATGACGCTTACTTGTCGAACACAAGGCGTTGACCTTGAGATGCAATGGAAAAAGTTCGTTTGATACCACCGAGCGAAATCAAACCTTGAATAATGGTAGCTAAGAGTCCAACTAGAATAATAGCTGCTTGTAGAACATCTGTCCAAATGACCGCTTTCATTCCGCCCTATAGATCAAGTAATAAATGATAAACTTTGTTCTTAATCCATTTAGAATTACCAATGATGAATAAAAAGTACAAATAACACCGATTGAAACAACACAAAGCCATATATTCAGACCAGTTGCTAAATTACATAATTCCTCTACGTGTTTCTAATTTTGTGCAAAAGACGCCTTTTACTTTGATTCAATGCCAATGCTGGTGCATACAATACAATAGCCATATAAATGATCTAAAGTCAAAGAAGGATTCAGAATCACATGAGTACATATTTGTGTTGATACCATGATTAATGAAAATGTTATTGATACACAGATACGCACGGTTCGATCGAAACGTTGCTCTAAATACTTTACATGACTTACTTTTGAGACAAGATTCAAAGAACGACGACACTATACTTCATAAGCACTGGTAAAATTCATCTCGCGAAACTTCGGCATAAATACCAATGCAGCTACGATCGATGCGACTGTTATTGAAATGGCTAAGAAAAGTATCAAATGTAAAAGTATAATCAAGAAGAGTGACTGATATCTTACCTTGGTACAAGTACATGGTGCCAAATAGATAAACTTCACTCGGAGTACCTAACAGCGTAATTGCAGAGAGAAATGAAACTGAAATGCTCAATGCTGTTGGAAAGACCTGTAGAATAACATTTTAAAAAAAGCCTAATTGCTAGTCGTATACATACGGCCATGTTACCATCCGCTGTAAAGAGAGAAAGAAAAAGATTGAGTGAACTATTCAGTTAATGAATCAATCATACCAAGAAGAAATTCTTTCGCAGAACTTTTCTTCGATTTGAAAAATCCGAAAATGATGCCAATGACTGATGATAAGAGTAAGAGTATCACAAGGATAACGTAATCAATAGCACTAAGCGTACGTGTGGCCATCTGTTAATCTTCGAGGCTATACAGAGAATGAGTTTTTGTGACAAAAGTGCTTGTCAGAAGGTAAATACGAGAATTGAATATGCACTGATGCTGCATTCTCTTTCACTTCGAACAGAAAAGAAAATAAAATAAAACAAATCTCTTGTTTTTTATCGTGATAAAGAGACATTTATTAAATGTCATAAATTTGACTGTTATCTCCAGGGTGAGAATGAAACTAAAGAATCATCCTTGCCTTCAATAAGAAAAGATAGTTTGAACTATGGATGATTCTTTCGGCTCGGAGAGCTATCCGAATTCTGAGTCATTTTTGAATTAAGAAAAAGAAAAGAAATTTCGCAATCACTGCTATGTGACAAACGCTCGACAATGATGATGACAGATTTCGCAATGTAACTGAATAAAAACAAAGTCCGCCATTGGTAAAGCAGAAACTTCCGTGTAAAGAAATGAATAAATGAAAATACAATCCATCGTCGACTTCAATATATTTCTAGATTTTTCTAATTACTTTTCAACTCGCTATTCTCGTGAAACAACATGAATTTCGGTGATCTACAATCTCGTGATGGGCTTCTCTCGCTTAACAAATTCCTTGTTGATAAATCCTACATATCAGGGTATGCTTTCTGGATTGCAGTTTTTTTTTCGAAATTCTCTTTTGATTGATCGAATAGTTATCGTCCAACACAAGAAGATCTTACTGTATTTGAAGCAGTGAAGCAACTCCCGTCGGCTGATTTCGAAAATGCTCGTCGATGGTACAAACATATTGCTTCATTCAATGACGAAGAAAAACAACAGTACGTTGTATTTTTCTTGTCATTCATCATTGCATCTGCGCCATTTTACTCTCAAAATTTTTGCCTAGATTTGAAGATGTTCCTGTCACAAAGATTGACGCAGGAACTGACAATGACGATGATTTCGATGTGTTTGCCAGCGACGACGAAGAAGAAAGTGAACTGAAAAGACAACGTCTAGATGCTTATGCAAAACAAAAAGCCAATAGTAATCATAGAGAAAGAATAATCATTTGCAGTTTGTTATCTTCGTATTTTTAGAACCGGCTGAGATTGCTAAAAGCTCCATCGTTCTCGATGTATGTAGTTAATAGTTCAAAGAGAATTATTCATTAGAATATTTTTGCTTGGAATTTATAGGTTAAACCATGGGATGATGAGACTGACATGCAAGAACTTGAAGAACATGTTCGTTCAGTTGAATTGGATGGACTTCTGTGGGGTGCTTGTAAGTTTGAATTCATTTTCAGGGAGTTGATTTTCTCTCATTTGTCATTTTTGTGCTGTTTTAAAAGCTCAATTCATTCCTCTTGCTTATGGAATTCGTGCCTTACAGATTACATGTGTTGTTGAAGATGAAAAGGTATAACTCCGACAGACTTTTCTTTCGTGTACCGATCTGATTTATTTCCAGGTTGGTACCGACATGCTTGAAGAACATATTACTGCATTCAAAGATCATGTTCAATCGGTCGACATTGCTTCATTTCGAAAGATTTAAAATTCATGATCACCAACTACCACCACATTCCTGTTTATTAACATCGTATAACATAAAATTACTCAATCATCTCTTTATCTTTTATGATATCTCTGATCGTTTTTCCATTGATTTTTCGCGACAATTGTTTGCATTTCCACTCCAATTGTTTATCTTTATAAACAGCATAATCCAATTTAACATTGGGTAATGTCACAGTTACACAGATTTGTTGCAGAAACTTGTGCTTTGAATGACCAAGAAATGCACCGTAACTATTTTATAGTCACTCGTGTTGAACGACGAAGCCGTTTTAAAAGAGAGATGTGCTTTGTTCATATCGCGAACAACACAGTCACGTCTGTAATGATCACTATGCACAGTTTCCATAATGAGAATATCTTGGACTAGAGGCGGAGAAATCGAACAGATGTAATGACCAACATATATAAATGTTTCTGGGTAGCCTAAAAGTTCTCTTGATCTAGTTGATTTCTATTATGTTTTGAGATGTCTACCAATCTATTCGGCAAATCGCCGGCATTCTCGTACAATAACGATTTCATCGTGTCGTAATGTTTCGCAATCATACAGTGAATCTAAATATGTTTGTTGGCAAAGTTGACAAAGCCATTCGATTGGTCATTAGATGACTTTTATCAAATCGAACTTCTACAGTTGATGTGAGTCAATCCGGTGGCGGATTGTTCTTTGTAGAGTAACGCTCAATAGTAGTCAGACGCTCGTCACCGTTATTGTGCACTTGTTAGTAGAAATATGCTAAGAAACAAAGAATACATTGATTCGGCTGGACAATGTCCGTAATAGAACTTGCCCACTCTCCTCATCCGTGTTAGGAAACTTTCCTGTATTGAGAAAGAATGTAGTGAACTTCTTTTGCTGTGTAGTCTAGTTTCCCTTCAGCGCCAGCCAGTAGTGGTGTGATCAGTTTGGACGAATGTATATGACCCGGCGCCTATATGGACACATCAATAGTAAGATATCTCAACAAAAGTTAAGATTTTCGTGGATTTTCTCGTATTTGACGATTGCCCGTCGTAAATTCACCAGCGTTAGTTTAGGTGGAAAGAAACTTTGAAGTATATCAAGAGACGCTTCTTCTTGGTGCACTTGAAAATGTAAACAATCGTTGTACATTGGTTAGAGTCATTCTCACAGTCGACATCGTGCGTATGTAATAAAACGTAAATGCTGGCGAAGTGAAGGATGTATTTGTGCAATTTTCACAAGTTATTACTTTCTTGCGGCCAACGATGAATCAATAAAAACACTTTTTTTCTCTATTTTCTTCGTTATTTCTCAAATGATTCGAATCAGTCGTTGAGTTTCACACTAACATCATCATCTATCTGTTTTGTCTTTTAATCAGTTGTTCGGTGCAATATACTGAGAAGAACCTGCAGCGTATGAGAATAGATCGAATTATTTTATTTAAAAACTGAAATTAGCAGTCTCTACAACATTCCAAGCAAGCGATTTCTTCGAGGGCGCAGCATATACATAAGCATGCCAAACTAAAATAGAATCGACAAGTTTTGAAAGTTAAACAAGAAATTGAATTCTCAACTAACCAATCAAAACAAGCACCACCACCTCGTAAACCTTTGGGGAAGTTGTCTTTTGATAGGGCAGATTCTTGTGTAGTTGTATCATCAGTTTTCTTCACTGTTTTTTCTGTCGATAAATAGAAAATACCGTATTTGATATCTCTCACTGGAATTCATCTATTGAATCTTCTTCTCCTACTCACCTATAACATTCTGATCCATATTGAATGCATCTCTAAGAGAATCAATTTCTCTATGATATATCACGATAGTTTAAACACTTACAATGTAGATGGCTGTTTGTGAACAACGGAAGTCATATTGTATGTATGGTATTATGGGCGAATCAATATAGGTTCTATGGTAGTTTTTTTTGTGCCTATATTTATACTAAACTTGGGCGCTCGTATGGGCGTGACGAGTATTGCTTTCTTCACCTCCCCATATTTCGTTTTCAACGCATACTGCACAATTAAATGAGGCGTCAAACAATTTTTTCTTCACGCAAATATCAGAAAAATCGAAAAACATGTTTATATCTTATTCATACCAATTTCTCATTAGAGTATAATAATTCAATGAGAAATGTGACGAGAGAGATAAAGGAAAAGTATGACTATGGACGCGCGCTTACTCATCAATTCGATAAAAATAATTCAGAATGAAATTTGAAGAAATATACAAGTACAAATAGGTACCTTAGTCACAGCTTCGTACCGTGATTCAGTATCTGTTTTGTTGTTTGTAGCACAGCAGATTGAAAAAGAATTTCCTTGGTATGATTTCAAAAGAAAAAAAAAGACGAGTGTCAAATTAATCGACGCCTGTGGTCCCGAAGGACCGAAAGTGTTGCTTCAGTCTCAAAACTTTAGAGTTGTTAGCCATCGATTGCGGCTCGTCTCTTTCATTTCTCACCGAAATGTAATTTAAGCTGTAGCAATTTCAGATTGTGCAATTTTTGTTCTTTCCTTTCAGTTATATATACGTCATTTGTTTACTAGAAAAAATATCCTGTCATGCAAACTACATTGATTTTATTTCGAAAAACACAACGGATTTCCGCATGCGCGTCCACATTGAGTATCAATATTGTTCAATTTGCAAGCAGCTGGAAAGGTCAAGTACGGACAGATAACACTATCGCATATTTCTAAATCGATAGAAGTATATGTAAACGAAATGTTATCTCATCTATCTTAACTATTTTACCTGCTTTCAGTCGATCTGCATCGTTATTACATCTAAATTACGAAATACGATCCGTAGATAAAAATAATGTCAGATTATTCATATTTACAGTGGTGTATCGCAAAATAGCCAAACATTCTCTTTATCATAGACAGGTTCACTAGTTGATTGACGTGTCATAAAGCCATGTTCCCAAGAACAGCCACGATAGACAACTACAGCAAATGAACATTTGCTTCGATCACTTCAAGCTTAAAAAAATACCTGCTCACCATTCTTGTATGAATATGTGTAGCATTGTCCATTACATGGAACTTTGTGATTACTCAATGATGGATCAACTTTGTTACCACATCGGGGATTTCTTGAATCACATTGATAACACCAGCCAGAAGCTGCCTGGCTAACTAATTAATGGAAAAGAATTTATTAAACATACAATCAATTGTTCTCTGTGATGGTTAGTCATCGTGTCCATACCTTCATGAATCGCGAAAGTGACTAATAGTATAAGAAAATAGGCTTGCCGGAGCATATCTAGAATAAACAAATAGAAAGAAAACTGGATTTCTTTTAATAAAGGACATATTTTTATTGATAATAAATTAGTTTGAATAACGAATAGCTTTATATTTTGAACCTCCGCTAGGTCGTTGCAGTTCAAGTGTTGGCGAACCTTCAGTACTATGTTCACGCATAGTTACTTTACCCAACGCACCCATATCTTTCGTAAAGATGATTTTATTGTCTTTCGACACATCTTTTCCAGGTTTACCGGGCAATGATACGAAATCATCAAAAGCTTGATTTAAACCACCTGGCTTTCGCCATTGTGCAACATTACCAGGAGCGTCAGTAATTCGCGTAGCACCACCTGTACTTGTTAGCTTGTCAAATGGATGCTGGCCACCGCTGCGCAACAGACTATTAACTAAACTTGTCTTCTTTCCCAAACTCCGTTCATCAGCAGCGATGAAAAGGAGTTCACTTGTAATCAATAGGAAAATTGCTGTGGAGAAATATTTCATCATGATGAGGAACGTAGAGCAGATTGTATGAATATTTTTGTTTCGCAAAGCTTTTCTATATATATATATATATATACTGTATGTAGTAACGATGCGTATTTTTTACGAATGGCCTTGATTTTGAATCGCGGATTTAACTATGATACGTTCCACGAAAGCATGATGCATTGTTTTCGTCTTATGATCAAATTACAAAAGTAAATATTTTCACGATTAACTTCTTTGACGATCAATCTTTCCAATAAAGTGTTTTCATTCTCCGAAATAAAATAATAGGTGTCTGAAGTATGAAAAAACAGTAAATAGTGATTGATTGTACTTTTGAAAGGACAAAGCAGTAGCACTATTTTCATTTGTAATAGGCATATTTCGAATGTACTGTATACAGTCGAAAGTCTCACGTAATAGTTGATACTGCAAGAATACTGAATACATTCGCTTACCTCCTTACACGTTGTTGAAAAAGAAAACATGACTTTATTATTTATTACTGACACAAATGAGTGACTGTGAAGAAATTATACGATCTAAATGGCAGTCATTTATATTCCTTTTCTCTATGCACAAACTAGAACTATATACTCTCTTCACCTTCACATCCAAACAGGCATATTGTTGTAGTCATGTTGATGACTTATGGTAGAAGAAGAAATGGCCATGATACGTATGACATTAATGAAGCCAGACCAAATCTGAGATTTTATATGTTTCCGCCGCAGAAATTAGCATCGTCTGTTGATCTTAGCGTATGGATGTCACCAATTATACACCAGGATGATACCAAAACTTGGTACTATACTAACCATTCGAATCGAATTCATCTAAGTCGCATTGTTTTTACTTTCTTCTAGTTGTGCCAATGCATTTGCGACCATTTGTGAGTATTTAATCCGACGGACAAATAACTGCCCATATACAATGCCGTGTATCAATCTATCCCGGTTATTTATCTATTACAACGGACAACGAAAAGAACAGAAAACACGTCATGTTCAAGATCTCGGCGTTCACCAACGAAATATTGCGTTAAGTATGAGAAAACATGGCATATGTGAAGAAGAATTCTGGCCGTATCGAATGCGTTTATTAAATAAACAACCGTCTGCGGCTGCATATCGCCAAGCAAAAAAATATACAGTTAATTTACTTTCTGTCCCGGTTACTATCGAAGCGATTGAAACATGTCTACATAATCAAATTCCGGTGCCGATCGACATTATCATGGACGATGAAACTGAACAGATCATCAAAACTAATCACGGATTTTTAGACATACAAAAACTAAAAGACAAACGAATCGATAGAAACAATTTACATACTGTGTTGATCGTTGGTTATGATAGAAAAGAAAAGTATTTTATCATGCGAAACTCATGGGGAGTAGCTTGGGTAAGAACGAGAAAAGAGAACGACCAGTCGACATTAATTTGTCTGCTTCTAATCGATTTTATTTCAGGGTTCTAATGGTTATTTCTATGCGCCGTATGAGTTTATACTGAATCGACGTCGTGTCAGTCATGCCGATCATTTATGGACTGTGACAAGAATCATACCACGTCCATCTAAATTACCTCGCGTCTGTCAATTAATTGTACCTGAATCGAAAGAAGACAAATACAATTATTGATAAATGAGATTTTCATGATCATTGAAAAATATATACCATAGTTTATCAGATGGTAAACAGCATTTACAATAAATATGCTTTTTAATGGATGTGAATATGTCATAACGGTTGACAAAATCGATCAGAATTATCCATAATGCGCGAATAGAATTTCTTCTATTACCTAAAGATATCGATGATTAATTACGATAACATAGAAAGATGCTTGATTTTCACAATTTTCATTTACTTCATAATTCAGTGAAGAAACATTCGTCGTCTTAGACGTATAGAATAATTTAATTATAAGTGGTGAGTCAACTGCTTCTGAGATGCTTTCTTCTCTAATGGAATATGATTCTTGTTTTGCACGTTCAAGGGGGAGGGAGATTCGTTGACGTTTTAGTTTTATTTTCAGTTGATGTTAACGAACAAGTTTTCGTTTCTACAAAACAGTGCACATTGACTGAGAACAGATACAACAATATTTTTCTTTTCTATTCTTCAACGTACATTGATTTCTGCGGAGGAGAAAACGATACCTGTGGTAATTATGAAAGCACATAACTAAAACATTTTATTTCCCTTTAAAGAAGAAAAAAAATATCACAACTGTTTTTCAACATCTTGAAGAATTTTCCTATACCATTGAACATGCGGATGTTGCGACGGTAATGTCTGATGAGCTATCTCAACAGCGCGTTGGCAATACGAAAGCGCTTTCTTATGCTCGCCCATACTGTGGTGCACGTTGCCAATATGTCCCAGAGACATAGCTAAATCAGAATGCGTAGAAGGGAGGGATTGTTGCCGAATCTGTAGAGCATTTTCATGAGCTGAAAGTGCTTTCCGATGTTCACCCATATTCATATAAACCATACCGAGATTATTATACGTAGTGCCTAAACTTAGATGGCCTGGTGGCAACGAGTCCTGTTTAATCTCGAGTGCTTTTTGATAGTACGACAACGCTTTTGGATAGTTTGCCATGGTGAAATACACCATACCGATGTTATTATAAGAATCACCGAGATCGGGATGATTGGGTGGAAGATTTTGTTGCTGAATTTCGAGTACTTTCTCATATGATGCGAGAGCTTTAGCATAGTCACCCAAAGTATATTGCACCATACCGACGTTGTTGTACGGAATAGCTAACTCTGGGCAGTTAGAGGAAAGTGTTTTCTGTCGAATGTGAAGTGCTTTTTCGTATGATGCAAGTGCATTTGCATAATCGCCCATATTATTGTAAACCATGCCGATATTATTGTAATAGATAGCTCGATTAGGATGATTCGCTGGCAGTGATTGTTCTTGGCTTTGAAACGCTTTTTCGTACGCCGCAATCGCTTTCGGATAATTTCCCATGTTGTAATTGATGAGACCTATGTTATTATAAGTAGTAATGAGGTCCGGATGATTGGATGGAAGTGACTTCTGTCGAATTTGTAGAGCTCGTTCATAGGACGAGAGCGCCTCTGAAAAATCATTCATACTATTGTAAGTCATACCAACATCATGATATGAACTGGNAATTCCGGTGCCGATCGACATTATCATGGATGATGAAACTGAACAGATCATCAAAACTAATCACGGATTTTTAGACATACAAAAACTAAAAAACAAACGAATCGATAGAAACAATTTACATACTGTGTTGATCGTTGGTTATGATAGAAAAGAAAAGTATTTTATCATGCGAAACTCATGGGGAGTAGCTTGGGTAAGAACGAGAAAAGAGAACGACCAGTTGACATTAATTTGTCTGCTTCTAATCGATTTTATTTCAGGGTTCTAATGGCTATTTCTATGCGCCTTATGACTTTATACTGAATCGACGTCGCGTCAGTCATGCCGATCATTTATGGACTGTGACAAGAATCATACCACGTCCATCTAAATTACCTCGCGTCTGCCAATTAATTGTACCTGAATCAAAAGAAGACAAATACAATTATTGATATATGAGATTTTCATAATCATTGAAAAATATATACCATAGCTTATCAGACGGCAAATAGCATTTATAATAAATATGCTTTTTAATGGATGTAAATATGTCATAACGGTCGGCAAAATCGATCAGAAGTGTCCATAATATGCGAATTGAATTCCTTCTATTACCTAAAGATATCAATGGTAAACTACGATAACATAGAAAGATGCTTGATATTCACAATTTTCATTTAATTACTTCATAATTCAGTGAAGAAACATTCGTCGTCTTAGACTCAACTGCTTCTGAGATGCTTTGTTTCTAATGGAATATGGTTCTTGTTTTGCACGTTCAATGGGAATTCAATGACGTCTTAGTTTTATTTTCAGTTGATGTTGATGTTGATGAATAATTTTTCGTTTCTAAAAAACAGTGCACATTGACTGAGAACAGATACAACAATATATTTTTCTTTTCTATTCTTCAACGTACGTTGATTTCTGCGGAGGAGAAAACGATACCTGTGGTAATTATGAAAGTACATAACTAAAACATTTTATTTTGCTTTAAAGGAAGAAAAGAAAATATCACAGTTGTTTTTCGACATCTTGAAGAATTTTCCTATACCATTGGACATGCGGATGTTGCGACGGTAATGTCTGATGAGCTATCTCAACAGCGCGTTGGCAATACGAAAGCGCTTTCTTATGCTCGCCCATACTGTGGTACACGTTGCCAATATGTCCCAGAGACATAGCTAAATCAGAATGAGTAGAAGGGAGGGATTGTTGTCGAATCTGTAGAGCATTTTCATGAGCTGAAAGTGCTTTCCGATGTTCACCCATATTCATATAAGCCATACCGAGATTATTATACGTAGTGCCCAAACTTAAATGGCCTGGTGGTAACGATTGCTGTTTAATCTCGAGTGATTTTTGATAGTACGATAGCGCTTTTGGATAGTTTGCCATGGTGAAATACACCATGCCGATGTTATTATAAGAATCACCGAGATCGGAATGATTGGATGGAAGATTTTGTTGGTGAATTTCGAGCACTTTCTCATACGATGCGAGAGCTTTAGCGTAGTTACCCAAAGTGTATTGCACCATACCGACGTTGTTGTACGGAACAGCTAACTCCGGATGGTTAGAGGCAAGTGTTTGCTGTCGGATGTGAAGCGCTTTTTCGTATGATGCAAGTGCATTTGCATAATCGCCCATGTTGTTGTAAACCATGCCGATATTATTGTAATAGATAGCTCGATTAGGATGATTCACTGGCAGTGATTGTTCTTGGCTTTGAAACGCTTTTTCGTACGCCGCAATCGCTTTCGAATAATTTCCCATGTTGTAATTGATGAGACCTATATTATTGTAAGTGGTAATGAGATCCGGATGATTGGATGGAAGTGACTTCTGTCGAATTTGTAGAGCTCGTTCATAGGACGAGAGCGCCTCTGAAAAATCATTCATACTATTGTAAGTCATACCAACATCATGATATGAACTGGCCAAATCGATATGATCCGCAGAAAGTGACTTCTGTCGGATTTCAAGTGCCTTTTCGTACGACGATAGTGCTTTCGGATAATTGCCCATACTGTAATTCACTGCTCCAATGTTTGTATGAGACGAAGCCAAACTGATATGATTCGGAGGCAAAGTTTCTTGAGCGATATCGAGCGATTGTTCGTAGAATGTTAATGCCGCTTGATAGTCGCGTTGCTGATGTTTCAGCCAGCCCAGCTGGTAATATATCGATATCTTTTCGGCTTCGTACGTCGTTTGGTCGAGTAAAATTTCGTACAATTCTTCAGATTTCTTTAGTTGATTCATTTTAAGTAGTAATTGACCAAATCTGGCCCATCCGACTTGTTCAGGAAAGGTTTCTTCTCGAACACGATTAACAAGTTTACGTATATTTTCGTCACTGTCATTTGTCAGAGTTACTCGCACTTCATAAATGTGCTTGTCCGTGTCGAGTACTTCGATACCGTCAAGTCGAAACACACTTTGCAACGGAAAAAGAACTTCGTCCTGCGTATCGAAATAACCGACATCAGTAATCGATGCAAACGGTATTGTGGATTTACTCGGGTCAACCGTCATTACAAACAGAATCGCCACGAAATCGGGATTTGCCGCAGTTTGTTGTACAAAATCAAAAGCAGTTTCACGGTTTTTACTTGTGAGTAAGAAATCGTTAAATGAAATATAACCGTCTTTCAATTTACTCAGTCGATCAAAATTTCCGATCGAGAGGCCGTGTCCACGGTACAGAATAATGGTCTTTTGATCAGAATCTGGATTCTCTGATTGTTCGGAATGTAAACGTTGAATATCACGGGACAAATCATCGATGAAAAAACCCAAACGAACAATCGTACTTGCATCCAATGATCGCAGTGCACGATGAAGCATTCTATATAGGAACGATTCCTGAGTATACCACCATATTGCTCGTTTACTATAATAATCTCGGTGAAATTGATTGACGTTTTCTAGCTCATCGGTATTTTCAGCATATAAATCAAGGCAATGGTTAACGAATTCTTGCAGATGAAGTTCACCGAAGTCAATGGTTGATAACACTTCTTTAAGTACTTGAATGTGAATGAAAGACGAATCTATTCGATTGAAAATTGTGTCTGGTCCAACAGCAACGTCTTCATTGAATATACTAATCGGTATTAAATACTGTCCGCACTGTTGAACTGCAGCTTGTAATGCTTCACATATGGATGACAATTCGGAAAAAACACCCTTAAATTTCGCATATTTCCTCGTCCATTCCTCGTACAATTGTTTGTTGTGACTGAATATTAAAATTGTATTCAATTGAGACATACCATGAATATAAGGTAAAATTCGTTGACCAAACGAATCGGATGTGATCAGACAGATCCTACTATTCGTAGCATTTTGCATAAATTGAATACACGGTTCATCTTTAGTGAACGTTTTCACATCATCAGCTATACACTTGAATTGTTTCATGGTGTTGCCATAATCAACACTCTTCTCATCGATTGCCGTATCCAACCAAACTAGAACTATATTTTCAGCACCTACTGATGGATGTGCCAGTCCAGCTTTACCACTATTCAAAGATTCCTTTGTCTTTTCTATCCCACTGGATTTATCCATATCTGAATGTATGATGAATCTCCTGTATTTGAGTGAGTAGTATATGCGTTAAATGCACTCGTTTTCTCTTCACTGATTCATGGACACGACCTTTATACGTCGCATTAGTACACATACTATTACAAAAGCAAGAGAACCAGTGTCGATATGCGGTAAGAACGTGCTATCATGCTTCATAGCACACGAAAAAGCCCATGAGAAGGTTTCATTTTACACTCTCTTCTCAACATGAGAAAAGAATAATAACAACTAACTTTTTTCGTTCTTCTATCAATCACATTTTTTTCATGCATTCATCGAAATGTCATTTAAATGAGTTAAGAGTAAAAGCTTTTTGTATATTTAGCTCAATAATGAAAAGTATAAATATCGGAAACTCATAAGACTCAGTATCTGCGGAGAGATGGAATACTCGACAATTACACTTCTTTTTTTTGTTGTTGAGAGAAATGACACATGAATTGAAGGTTTCATTATTTTCCTCACTTGAAAATTTTTGATGAGTTCAAGGAAATAATAAAAAATGCTTTGCACTCATTTTTGAATATGTTGATTATCATCAAAGGTCTTCTTCTGATTTGTCGCCTATCGCTTGTATTGGCAGCAGTAATGTCTGTGTATAAAAATGCAAAATTCTATCCAATTGATATTCATTTTATGCTTGCGAACATATCCTCAGTCAACACATCGAATGCTTGTGTTTGTGCGTGCATAATGGATTTCATGTGCATTACAGTTTACTACAATGGGTATGCTCAGAATTGCGTTCTTTTTTCGGCTGAATTACGACAAGGTCAATTAAATCTAGCGACAACAGATACGAATTCTATTGTGATGAGTTTCAAGAATAAAAGTATTCAAGGTATCACGTCAACGACTATTCCAAGCTGAATGCACTCGTTTCTCATTTGTTTCTAGCCTCGACAGTGTTCAGTACAATGAATAAAACGGTATATGCAATATGGAACACAACGGCTGGAAGTAATAGTTTAGCTTCATATTCTGGTTATGAACAGGGAAACTTCTATCCCTCTGAAACACCATCGTCTGTTTTTGATAACATTGGTAATAGTAGCTATAGTAGCTACGGCGTGTGTAACTATTCTACTTGGGATCTTTCGTGTGGTACAAACACCGGATTTTACATCACATTCAAAAATGCGCCGTATCTTCTTCGTGCGTTTCGTATATGTGCAGGTCACTACAGAGCATCTCGCGATCCCTTAACAATCACAATTGAAGGAAGCAATCTAGCTGGTGCTGCTCTAACTTTAGGCACTAGTTGGACGTTAATTTATAATGGCAGTACAGGACTTACTACTGATCCCGGTCGAAGTATGTGCGGTGAACTTCGAACAACTGGAAATTCTCTATGGTTTTCAAGTTACCGCCTTTTGGTAACTGCAAAACGATCTGTCGACACTTGTGTTGAGTATTCTGAAGTGAATTTTCTGGCTTAGTTATATGAAAACGTTTTTTATTGGCGTAAAAATGTTATGAATCTTTGAGAAGCGAACAAAAATCTTGATAAGCTGTTTCGTAATTTTTTGATCTATCAGGCACACATTTCAAATCGAATTGTTTTTCACTTTCCCCAATAAACATACGAGCGAAACATAAATGCTTTTTTCTCCAATGGAACGTTTGCATACGGTATGCCTGGACGGCAAATTTGACTATAGGACTTTCTTTAGCAAGTCGGTTTCGAATATAGTCGACGAAATCAATCACGTCGTTGTTTTTCATGGACGGATCAAGTTGAAAAACGACCTCATCACCAGATAGGGCCACGCATCGTAAATCGACCTCTTTTTCATCGAAACAGTTGCAGAGTACCGTGCGATAAATAGTTCCGGTATACTGTTTCCATAGAGCCTCTAGTTTATAATATTGTGGTAACTTTCCTAGGCAAAACTGGCGTAACTTTTTGTTTTCAACAAACAACTTCCTTGCTCCAACAAACGGAAGCAAAAAGTCAGACCAGGTCGGATAGATCTGAGGATCTATAGCACCAATATATTGAAGCATACCAAAATTGGCTGATTTGATGTCAACACTAATGAAAGTTACGCCTTCCTTTTTCGCATTGTAAACTTCATTGTTGACTTCCTTTACTGAAGAAACTGCACGTGGTTTTCTAATCAATTCTTGATACAACGCATTTGTCGATATCAAGTCCGATATAAATTGATGTAGAGAGTATCGAAATCGCTCTATAAATGCGATACCGTGCCAGTCGCATAGTTCGTTAAATTCTTGCCATTCAACGGATGTTTCAGTGATAACCTGTTGCGGAGTAAGTAAACGTCCCGTGAGATTATCGAATATCTTCTCTCTGTCTCGATGACGTTCGTCCTTCTCGTTCACATCAGTTGATTTGGTCTTGAAAAGTCTAATGGTAGCTATGCGCTCAGCTCCATGATTCGCAGTCGCCGATCGATTTTCTTCATCCATATCACGATACAGAATATGGTATTTCACGGTCAGAATAGTTAACATTAATCGATCAACTGGCGTTGTACCGATGAATTCTACGCAGTCTTCTGATTGATTTAACCATTCCTGTACTCGAGCTTCCCATTCTAGCCATTGACGAAATATTGGACTATCCATTTTGTTTTTTAAATCGTGATTATTCTGCTAGTACCAATGAAGCATTTTACAAGTATTTATAGAGAAAAAGACGCCCTGTTTACTTTCTGTCGTCATTCTTCACTTTTACGTGTCATAGATCGTTGCAGTATTTGTTTGGAATGACTCATGCGATGCTTTTTATTTCCTTCGTCATTTACTTCCGAGAGAGGAATTGAGTCATGTGATACTCGTCTCACTCTTTACAACCGCCACGATGTTTCCATTTTTCGAACATTATGTCATTAACAGCACAAGATCTGAAGAGCCGAGGAATGGAAGCAAAGCTAAAGTTTTTTCTTGCTGTAGTTCGGAAAAACCATCTGTCTTGCTTTTTATCGGATGTATTTAGAATTACAGTATTTATTTTCAAACGAGAACGTAGATAATACTATTTTTTTTGTAAAAAAATGATATTCCTCACACATTCTACAAGCAGAGAACTCGAGTAAATGCTGCTGCATAATTTGTTGTTGAATTTATTCCTCTGCTCCGTGGGAAAAGCTCGATATAATTTGTACAATACGGATCATGCCTTGGACCTGAACAGTGCTCGAATTAATTGTTTGCATTACTATGCTCAGAAGATATTTCTTATATTTGAAAAAACTGAATATTGTCTTGAATCACCAGATAAGACTGAAGTAAGCCCTGATACAATTCTTGGAAATTTCACATTTGATCAACTACGAGAATTGAGTATTACTACGCAAGATCTTCTTTCATGGTCAGCTTCGATCGATCAAGCTGAACGCTATCAAGATTATCTAGATCATACCCATGATTCGCCTCTATCGAAGGAATTATTTTTTAATTGTACAAAACCATGGTTTGGGTCTTATTGTCAATACTCATTCGGAATAGGAACAACGTATGGGCTTGAAAGTATTCTAAAGACGACGTTCAGAAAAAAATACTTTCTTTCTCCTCCGGATACAGTTGCTTACGGATCATGTTATGTATATATAGAATGTGATCGCGGTAGTCCACATGTGTGTTTGGATTGGCGTGAGATATGCGACGGACGAATTGATTGTGTTGATGGAGGCGCCGATGAAGAACATTGTTTTGAATTAGAAATCAACACATGTGGTCAGGATGAATATCGATGCCGTAACGGATTGTGCATCGCAAAAGAATTTGTGAAAGATGATTACGCACAATGTCTCGATGCCTCGGACTTACCTAGCGGATCAGNCCGTCATTACAAACAGAATCGCCACGAAATCGGGATTTGCCGCAGTTTGTTGTACAAAATCAAAAGCAGTTTCACGGTTTTTACTTGTGAGTAAGAAATCGTTAAATGAAATATAACCGTCTCTCAGTTTACTCAATCGATCAAAATTTCCGATCGAGAGGCCGTGTCCACGGTACAGAATAATGGTCTTTTGATCAGAATCTGGATTCTCCGATTGTTCGGAATGTAAACGTTGAATATCACGAGACAAATCATCGATGAAAAAACCCAAACGAACAATTGTACTTGCATCCAATGATCGCAGCGCACGATGAAGCATTCTATATAGGAACGATTCCTGAGTATACCACCATATTGCTCGTTTACTATAATAATCTCGGTGAAATTGATGGACGTTTTCTAGCTCGTCGGTATTTTCAGCATATAAATCAAGGCAATGATTAACGAATTCTTCCAGATGAAGTTCACCGAAGTCAATGGTTGATAACACTTCTTTAAGTACTTGAATGTGAATGAAAGATGAATCTATTCGATTGAAAATTGTCTCTGGCCCAACAGCAACGTCTTCATTGAATATACTAATCGGTATTAAATATTGTCCGCATTGTTGAACTGCGGCTTGTAATGCTTCACATATGGATGACAATTCGGAGAAAACACCCTTAAATTTCGCATATTTCTTCGTCCATTCCTCGTACAATTGTTTGTTGTGACTGAATATTAAAATTGTATCCACTTGAGACATACCATGAATATAAGGTAAAATTCGTTGACCAAACGAATCGGATGTGATCAGGCAGATCCTACTATTCGTAGCATTTTGCATAAATTGAATACACGGTTCATCTTTAGTGAACGTTTTCACATCATCAGCGATACACTTGAATTGTTTCATAGTGTTGACATAATCAACACTCTTCTCATCAATCGCCGTATCCAACCAAACTAGAACTATATTTTCACCACCTACTGATGGATGTACCAGTCCAGCTTTACCACTATTCAAAGATTCCTCTGTCTTTTCTACCCCATTGGATTTATCCATATCTGAATGTATGATGAATCTCCTGTATTTGAGTGAGTAGTATATGCGTTGAATGCACTCGTTTTCTCTTCACTGATTCATGGACACGACCTTTATACGCTGCATAAGTACACATACGATTACAAAAGCAAGAGAACCAGTGTTTATATGCGGTAAGAACGTGCTATCATGCTTCATAGCACACGAAAAAGCCCATGAAAAGGTTTCATTTTACACTCTCTTCTCAACATGAGAAAAGAATAATAACAACTGACTTTTTTCGTTCTTCTATCAGTCACATTTTTTTCATGCACTCATCGAAATGTCATTTAAATGAGTTAAGAGTAAAAATTTTTTGTATATTTAGCTCAAGAATAAAAAAAGTATAAATATCAGAAACTCATAAGACTCAGAATTTGCGGAGATATGGAATACTCGACAATTGCACTTCTTCTTTTTTTTGTTGAGAGATAGGGCACATGAATTGAAGGTTTTATTATTTTCCTCACTTGAAAATTCTTGATGGGTTCAAGGAAATAATAAAAAAAAGTTTTGCACTCATTTCCGAATATGTTGATTATCATCAAAGGTTTTCTTTTTATTTGTCGCCTATCGCTTGTATCGGCAGCAGCAATGTCTGTGTATAAAAATGCAAAATTTGATCCAATTGATATTCATTTTATGCTTGCGAACATATCCTCCGTCAACACATCGAATGCCTGCGTTTGTGAGTGCATAATGGATTTCATGTGCATTACAGTTTACTACAATGGGTATGCTCAGAATTGTGTTCTTTTTTCGGCTGAATTACGTCAAGGTCAACTAAATCTGGCGACAGCAGATACGAATTCTATTGTGATGAGTTTCAAGAATAAAAGTATTCAAGGTATCATGTCAACGACTATTCCAAGATAAATGCACTCGTTTCTCATTTGTTTCTAGCCTCGACAGTGTTCAGTACAATGAATGAAACGGTATATGCAATATGGAACACGACGGCTGGAAGTAATAGTCTAGCTTCATATTCTGGCTATGGACAGGGAAACTTCTATCCCTCTGAAACACCCTCGTCTGTTTTTGATAACATTAGTAATAGTAGCTATAGTAGCTACGGCGTGTGTAACTATTCTACTTGGGATCTTTCTTGTGGTAAAAACACCGGATTTTACATCACATTCAAAAATGGGCCGTATCTTCTTCGTGCATTTCGTATATGTGCAGGTCATTTCAGAGCAGCTCGCGATCCCTTAACAATTACAATTGAAGGAAGCAATCTAGCTGGTGCCGCTCTAACTTTAGGAACTAGTTGGACGTTAATTTATAATGGTAGTACAGGACTTACTACTGTTCCCGGTCGAAGTATGTGCGGTGAACTTCAAACAACTGAAAATTCTCTATGGTTTTCAAGTTACCGCCTTCTAGTAACTGCAAAACGATCTGTCGACACTTGCGTTGAGTATTCTGAAGTGAATTTTCTGACTTAGTTATATGAAAACATTTTTTATTGGCGTAAAAATGTCATGAATCGTTGAGAAGCGAACAAAAATCTTGATAAGCTGTTTCGTAATTTTTTGATCTATCGGGCACACATTTTAAATCGAACTGTTTTTCACTTTCCCCAATAAACATACGGGCGAAACATAAATGCTTTTCTCTCCAATGGAACGCTTGTATACGGTATGCCTGAACGGAAAATTTGACTATAGGACTTTCTTTAACTAGTCGGTTTCGAATATAGTCGACGAAATCAATCACGTCGTTGTTTTTCATGGACGGATCAAGTTGAAAAACGATCTCATCACCAGATAGGGCCACGCATCGTAAGTCGACCTCTTTTTCATCGAAACAATTGCAGAGTACCGTGCGATAAATAGTTCCGGTATATTGTTTCCATAGAGCCTCTAGTTTATAATATTGTGGTAGCTTTCCTAGGCAAAACTGACGTAACTTTTTGTTTTCAACAAACAACTTCTTTGCTCCAACAAACGGAAGCAAAAAGTCAGACCAGGTCGGATAGATTTGAGGATCTATAGCGCCAATGTATTGAAGCATACCAAAATTGGCTGATTTGATGTCAACACTAATGAAAGCTACACCTTCCTTTTTCGCATTGTAAACTTCATTGTTGATTTCCTTTACTGGAGAAACTGCACGTGGTTTTCTAATCAATTCTTGATACAATGCATTTGTAGATATCAGGTCCGATATAAATTGATGCAGAGAGTATCGAAATCGCTCTACAAATGCGATACCGTGCCAGTCGCATAGTTCGTTAAATTCTTGCCATTCAACGGATGTTTCAGTGATAACCTGTTGCGGAGTAAGTAAACGTCCCGTGAGATTATCGAATATCTTCTCTCTGTCTCGATGACGTTCGTCCTTCTCGTTCACATCAGTTGGTTTGGTCTTGAAAAGTCTAATGGTAGCTATGCGCTCAGCTCCATGATTCGCAGTCGCCGATCGATTTTCTTCATCCATATCACGATACAAAATATGGTATTTCACGGTCAGAATAGTTAACATTAATCGATCAACTGGCGTTGTGCCCATAAATTCTACGCAGTCTTCTGATTGATTTAACCATTCCTGCACTCGAGCCTCCCATTCTAGCCATTGACGAAAGATTGGACTGTCCATTCTTCTAAGAAAATCACGATTATTCTGCCAGTATCAATGCAACATTTTAGAAGTATTTATAGAGAAAAGGACGCCTTATCTACCTTTCTGTTGCAATTCTTCACTTTTATGCGGCATATAACGTTGCAGCATTTTTTTGGAATGAGTCATGCGATGCTTTTTATTTCCTTCGTCATTACATGTTTCTTGTACAATTCTCGTCATTTACTTCCGAGAGATGACTTGAGTCATGCGGTAATCGTCTCACTCTTTACAACCGCTACGATGCTTCCATTTTTCGAACATTATTTCATTAACAGCACAAGATTTGAAGAGCCGAGGAATTGAAGCAAAGCTAAAGTTTTTTCTTGTTGTAGTTCTGAAAAACCATCTGTCTTGCTTTTTATCGGATGTATTTAGAATTACAGTATTTATTTTCAAACGAGAACGTAGATAATACTATTTTTTTTTTGTAAAAAATGATACTCCTCATACATTTTAAAAGCGGTAATCTCGCTCTCATTTATAGCAGAGAGCCCGAGTGGAAATGCTGCTGCATAATTTGTTATTGAATTTGTTCCTCTGCGCCGTGGGAAAAGCTCAATATAATTTGTACAATACGGATCATGCCTTGGACTTGAACAGTGCTCAAATTAATTGTTTGTATTACTATGCTCAGAAGATATTTCTTATATTTGAAAAAACTGAATATTGTCTTGAATCACCAGATAAGACTGAAGTAAGTCCTGATACAATTCTTGGAAATTTCACATTTGATCAATTACGTGAATTGAGTATTACTACGCAAGATCTTCTTTCATGGTCAGCTTCGATCGATCAAGCTGAACGCTATCAGTATTATCTAGATCATACTCATGATTCGCTTCTGTCGAAGGAATTATTTTTTAATTGTACAAAACCATGGTTTGGGTCTTATTGTCAATACTCATTCGGAATGGGAACAACATATGAGCTTGGAAGTATCCTGAAGAAGACATTCAAAAGAAAATACTTTCTGTCTCCTCCGGATACAGTTGCTTACGGATCATGTTATGTACATATAGAATGTGACCGCGGTAGTCCACATGTGTGTTTGGATTGGCGTGAGATATGCGACGGACGAATTGATTGTGTTGATGGAGGCGCCGATGAAGAACATTGTTTTGAATTAGAAATCAACACATGTGGTCAGGATGAATATCGATGCCGTAACGGATTGTGCATTGCAAAAGAATTTGTGGAAGATGATTCTGCACAATGTCTCGATGCCTCGGATTTACCTAGCGGATCAGTNCGCGGTAGTCCACATGTGTGTTTGGATTGGCGTGAGATATGCGACGGACGAATTGATTGTGTTGATGGAGGCGCCGATGAAGAACATTGTTTTGAATTAGAAATCAACACATGTGGTCAGGATGAATATCGATGCCGTAACGGATTGTGCATTGCAAAAGAATTTGTGGAAGATGATTCTGCACAATGTCTCGATGCCTCGGATTTACCTAGCGGATCAGTTGATTATCCAGACGATTTTGATTATCCAAATATATTTGAACATGAAGAACGAATCTGTTTATCGAACAAAAGACGGTTTAGCTGCGGAGATGGACGATGCGTCAGAGATTATGAAACCTGTCTCAGTATGCGACATGTTTTCTTTCATAAGTTGATCAGTATGCAAGGCAATTTATCATTTACTTGCTGGATGACGATGGTTTGTTTAACTAAAATACTTGACAAAGTTAATGGAATATCTTGTCATGAAATCATTCGATTATCAAATATCACGCTTAATCTGCAAACATGTGATAATATTACTTCATTCCCAGTTGTTCCAATACTCTTTGGGCACGTGCGTTTTCTATATCTTCTCAATGATACCTCAAAGGTGAACACCAGTCGAATTCTTCTGCCTGAGCATATATGCTATGATCAAGAGCTGTGCAATTTTCTAACGCCGACGTTTCATCATGAAAACTATACCTGTCGCTCAACCCGTGATATCGATTTGAACTTCACTAAGTTACAATCTGAACAGTGGTCGTCCCTTATTAGTATTATGGAACCGTATTTTCGTAGATGTTCAACTGGAAGTAAGCACAACAAAGATTCAGGCAACTCGTTATTATACTGTTGCAAGAACTCAACCAAATGCATATCAATTCATCGAATACTCGATAGTATATCAGATTGTTACCTGAATGATGACGAAGAAGAATACGAGCGCAGCTGTTTAATCGATGACATATTACGTTTTCGATGTGGTAATGAAAATAGATGCTATGGTGTATTGAACCCTCGTGATATATGCCCCCGACGAAGTTCGATTCGTGTTGACGCCATCGAATTCTACCAAATGTGCGATCGACATATCCAGATGTTCCCAGTGCTAATCAATGGGGAAAATCACACGGATGAAACGGAATGTGATCGATGGCCCTGTAATAATATGTATACACGATGCGATGGCTTTTGGAGTTGCCCCAATGGAGAAGATGAATATAATTGTACAGAGCGACAACTATGTCCATTAAGTTCACTGGCGTGTGTATCTCCACAGAATCGTACGATCATGTGTTTGCCAGCAAGTCGAGTTAATGACGATTATATCGACTGTCTTGGTTCAGCAGATGAACTTCGTCATTGTCGCAGCGATCTTTCACAAATCGGGTGGTATAATGGATTTCGTTGTTGGAATGGTAACAAATGCATTGGACGATCGAAGATATGCGATGCAAATATAGATTGTTCGTTTGGTGATGATGAAGATTTTTGTGAGAATAGTTACGAACCTTGCTTCAAGTGTGAAAAATCCACTTGCTCCGATATGAGAGAAACTATCTGTTATCGTAGTTCGTTGCCCAGGCCGAAGTTTTCCTTTGGAGCTCCAGCAGTACATGCTCCATCTACAAACAGAATATTCGAACATGTCGCACCAGATTTTACGAAATATACCATAAGCGAACCTTCTGATCGTACGTGGCCATGGCGTTGCAACCTTGGTTTATATGTCACACTGTGGTCGAGCAATCGTTCTTCGAAATTTCAATGCTTTTGTCCACCATCAAATTACGGTGACTTATGCCAATATCAAAATCAACGCATTAGTGTCACAGCTAAAGTTAATTTTATCGATGCATTCGGTATTTACGCCGTTACTGTCATGTTAATCGAAGATGACGACGATCGCCAAGATATAAACAGTTACCATCAATTCGTTTCGGTCGCTCGTCGCGAATGTCATCAGATTTATAACGCCTATCTTACTTATGCAACGCGTCCGAAAAATGCTTCCCAGAAATATANCCAATATCAAAATCAACGCATTAGTGTCACAGCTAAAGTTAATTTTATCGATGCATCCGGTATTTACGCCGTTACTGTCATGTTAATCGAAGATGACGACGATCGCCAAGATATAAACAGTTACCATCAATTCGTTTCGGTCGCTCGTCGCGAATGTCATCAGATTTATAACGCCTATCTTACTTATGCAACGCGTCCGAAAAATGCTTCCCAGAAATATAGTATTCGCGTTGATGCTTTTGACAAAATTCGTTTAATTCATCTTGCCAGTTGGCATTTTGATATCCCATTTTCGTTTTTACCTAATCATCGTATGGCAGTTCTGTTGAATGTTCCAGATCGTGAACTATTCGACATTCACCTTTGTCCGTTGACGTGTTACAATGGTGAATGTAGAAAATATATAAACAAAGAAGAGTTCTTTTGTAAATGTCATACAGGATGGTCTGGTGCCCAATGCAATATTCCTATTCGTTGCAGTGATTGTTCAGCCGATTCACTTTGTATCGGTCAAATTCGCAATCGTTCTATTTGTGTCTGTCCGTTACATAAAGGTGGTCCACGATGTTTACTTCGATTGTCATGCTCTGAAGATTATTGCGACAACAATGCTACTTGCTTAGTACATAGTGATGGAAGAAGTGCGATGAACTTTGTTTGTATCTGCCCTCAAGAATTTATGGGACTATTTTGTCATATTAGAACACCGAAACTGGATATTTCTTTGCAACATATCCGTGTTGCGGCATCTTATTTGCTTGTTTATGTCTACATGAATACTGTAAAAGGTTGGCAATTCGAACAAACAGAACTCGTGATAATACCACAAAAACTGAGACTATTCCAACCTAATGTCTCGATTTACACCAAAATGGAGATCGGTATGGTTTTTGTCAAGATCGATAATAAGTATTATTCCACTGTACTGCAATCAATCAGTGATACACATTTTTCGACCTCTATTAATCCTGCGCTACGATGTGAATCGATTGACGAAGTTTTACATTCTCAATTGGTGAGCCTGCCGAAAATTCGACGTATGAAATACTTTCATTTCGTGTGTCAAACTCATCTTCGTCTCGCATGTTTTTTTGATGAATCCCACATGTGTTTGTGCACCCATGAACATCATGCGAACTGTTTCAAATTCAATCATACACCACTGATTTGTCGGCATGCGACTCATTGTCAGAATGGTGCGCAATGCTCGAATGATGGCTCTCCTTGCCCTGTTTCAACGTGGTGCAATTGTACGGATTGTTATTTCGGAGATCGGTGTCAGTTTTATGCTAAAGGTATTGGGTTGACATTAGACGATATTCTACGTTACGATATTCGACCGAATGCTACACTCTCAGAACAGACAGTTTTAGTTAAATGCTGCTCGGCATTTACCATCCTGATGTTCGTTGTTGGTTTAATCAATAGTCTNCATGTTAATCGAAGATGACGACGATCGCCAAGATATAAACAGTTACCATCAATTCGTTTCGGTCGCTCGTCGCGAATGTCATCAGATTTATAACGCCTATCTTACTTATGCAACGCGTCCGAAAAATGCTTCCCAGAAATATAATATTCGGGTTGATGCTTTTGACAAAATTCGTTTAATTCATCTTGCTAGTTGGCATTTTGATATCCCATTTTCATTTTTACCTAATCACCGTATGGCAGTTCTGTTGAATGTTCCAGATCGTGAACTATTCGACGTTCACCTTTGTCCGTTGACGTGTTACAATGGCGAATGTAGAAAATACATAAACAAAGAAGAGTTCTTTTGTAAATGTCATACAGGATGGTCTGGTGCCCAATGCAATATTCCTATTCGTTGCAGTGATTGTTCAACCGATTCACTTTGTATCGGCCAAATTCGCAATCGTTCTATTTGTGTCTGTCCGTTACATAAAGGTGGTCCACGATGTTTACTTCGATTGTCATGCTCTGAAGATTATTGCGATAACAATGCTACTTGCTTAGTACATAGCGATGGAAGAAGTGCGATGAGTTTTGTTTGTATCTGCCCTCAAGAATTTATGGGAATATTTTGTCATATTAGAACACCGAAACTGGATATCTCTTTGCAGCATGTCCGTGTTGCGGCATCTTATCTGCTTGTCTATGTCTACATGAATACTGTAAAAGGTTTGCAATTCGAACAAACAGAACTCCTGATAATACCACAAAAATTGAGACTATTCCAACGCAATGTCTCGATTTACATCACAGGGGAGATCGGTATGGCTTTTGTCAAGATCGATAATAAGTATTATTCCACTGTACTGCAATCAATCGGTAATACACATTTTTCGACCTCAATTAATCCTGCGCTACGATGTGAATCGATTGACGAAGTTTTACATTCTCAATTGGTGAGCCTACCGAAAGTTCGACGTATGAAATACTTTCATTTCGTGTGTCAAACTCATCTTCATCTCGCATGTTTTTTTGATGAATCCCACATGTGTTTGTGCACTCATGAACATCATGCGAACTGTTTCAAATTCAATCATACACCAATGATCTGTCGGCATGCGACTCATTGTCAAAATGGTGCTCAATGCTCGAATGATGGCTCTCCTTGCCCTATTTCAACGTGGTGCAATTGTACGGATTGTTATTTCGGAGATCGGTGTCAGTTTTATGCTAAAGGTATTGGGTTGACATTAGACGATATTCTACGTTACGATATTCGACCGAATGCTACACTCTCAGAACAGACAGTTTTAGTTAAATGCTGCTCGGCATTTACCATCCTGATGTTCGTTGTTGGTTTAATCAATAGTCTCTTCTCGATTATAACATTTTCTGATCGAAAATCGAGAGAAGTAGGTTCCGGAATTTATCTTCTTACATCGTCTATCGTATCGCTGTTCACAGTGAGCATTTTAACAGCGAAATTCTGGTATCTTATTCTAACACAAATCAATCCATTTGTTGATCGTTCTCTACTACGGAATGGATGTCGATTATTGGAATTCATTCTAAAAGTTTGCCTATATCTGAACAATTGGCTCAATGCTTGCGTCGCACTTGAGCGATCGATGGCTGTACATACCGGCGCTTATTTTAATAAATCTCGGAGCAAACGCATTGCACGTAAGGTCATTATTATTGTACCGATAGTTATCATGTTGAGTATTGTTCATGAACTTGTCTTTCGCGATCTATTTGAAGATCATGAAGAACAACGTCTATGGTGTTTAATGCCCTATTCTCGATCGATCCATACATACAATACAATTGTTTCCCTGTTTCATTTTCTTGCTCCATTTCTGGCCAATTTCTATTCTGCTGTGTTCATTACTTTTCGTGGCGCGCAACAACGAGCGCGAGTGCAACCGCAAATAACACACAGGCAACACCGATGGCAACAACTCAATGATTATAAACATCTGATCATCAGTTCGATCGTTCTTGTTATTTTAACAATACCCCAACTAATCATTTCGTCTTTGTCCGGATGCGTCAAAGCAGCTTATCAATCGCAAGTTTATGCTGCAGGTTATTTCATATCGTTCGTGCCGTCGATGTCCATTTTTATTGTATTTGTTCTACCGTCGCGATTGTATCAAAGTCAATTTAAAAAAGCGTTAAAATCATGGCGGCAGATGTTCTCTCGGTGTTGAAAAGAACGTCTGCTTTTGTAACAGAAAAACAATTCATTGAATTTGAATATGATACTTGAGAGGAGTTTTTTTGGAGTATTTGTAAAATAAATAAATAGAATGACATTCTATCCGACTACGATAGACATCTACGTAAGAATATGTATAGTTGAATAAAATCGCCAATAAAAATATTCGTTGCCGATTCTCTTTTTCCCATTCTATGTATGATTCACAAGCATAAAAACCCAAATCGTATGCTTCAGAATGCATTTTTTGTCGCATCAAAAACGATGGTTGACACTCTCACTTCTATCCGAAATGAACTACATCAAATGGAACGTGTTCTAAATGAAGACAAGCTGAAATTCATTGATAGATTGAACCAAGTTCGAAAAGCTGTTTTCGATCATATTGATCGGCAAATTCAAAAATTAAATGAAACAAAACAAATCTATGAGAAAAAATTCAGCTATCTCGAAGATGAAAATAACAAAACATGCGACCAGAATCAGCGTGAATTCGATCGAACATGTATATTAATTAATCGAACTAATGAAGACAAGGCGAAAGCATCGGATCTGTTGAAACAATTCAAAGATAAATTTCCACATCGACCTCAAATGTTAAAAGANTTCTCGATTATAACATTTTCTGATCGAAAATCGAGAGAAGTAGGTTCCGGAATTTATCTTCTTACATCGTCTATCGTATCGCTGTTCACAGTGAGCATTTTAACAGCGAAATTCTGGTATCTTATTCTAACACAAATCAATCCATTTGTTGATCGTTCTCTCCTACGTAATGGATGTCGATTATTGGAATTCATTCTAAAAGTTTGCCTATATCTGAACAATTGGCTCAATGCTTGTGTCGCACTTGAGCGATCGATGGCTGTACACACTGGCGCTTATTTTAATAAATCTCGGAGCAAAAGCATTGCACGTAAGGTCATTATTATTGTACCGATAGTTATCATGTTGAGTATTGTTCATGAACTTGTCTTTCGTGATCTATTTGAAGATCATGAAGAACAACGTCTATGGTGTTTAATGTCCTATTCTCGATCGATTCATACATACAATACAATTGTTTCCCTATTTCATTTTCTTGGTCCATTTCTAGCCAATTTCTATTCTGCTGTGTTCATTACTTTTCGTGGCGCACAACAACGAGCGCGAGTGCAACCGCAAATAACACAGAGGCAACATCGATGGCAACAACTCAATGATTATAAACATCTGATCATCAGTTCGATCGTTCTTGTTATTTTAACAATACCTCAACTGATCATTTCGTCTTTGTCCGGATGCGTCAAAGCAGCTTATCAATCGCCAGTTTATGCTGCAGGTTATTTCATATCGTTCGTGCCGTCGATGTCCATTTTTGTTGTATTTGTTCTACCGTCGCGATTGTATCAAAGTCAATTCAAAAAAGCGTTAAAATCATGGCGGCAGATGTTTTCTCGGCGTTGAAAGCTTTTTCTTTAATGCGCACGAGACAAACCATTATTGTCAGTTTGTCGCAAATTAAAGAACATCTGCTTTTGTAACTGAAACACGATTCATTGAATTTGAATATGATACTTGAGAGGATTTTTTTAAGTATTTGTAAAATAAATAAATAAACACAATGACATTGTATCCGACTATGATAGACATCTGCATAAGAATATGTATGGTTGCATAGAATCACCGATAAAAATATTCTTTTGCAGATTGTTTTTCCCCATTCTGTGTATGATTCACAACCATAAAAACCCAAATCGTTTGTTTCGGAGTGCATTTTTGTCGCATCGAAAACGATGGTTGATGCTCTTGCTTCTATCCGAAATGAACTACGTCAAATGAAAGGTCTTCTCAATGAAGACAAGCTGGAATTCATTAATAGATTGAACCAAATTCGAAATGCTGTTTTCGATCATATTGATCGGCAAATTCAAAAATTAAATGAAACAAAACAAATCTATGAAAAAAAATTCAGCTATCTCGAAGATGAAAATAACAAAACATGCGACCAGAATCAGCGTGAATTCGATCGAACATGTATATTAATTAATCGAACTAATGAAGACAAGGCGAAAGCATCGGATCTGTTGAAACAATTCAAAG